GCCGATCTGATGAATCTCTCTCGATCTCCACCGTGGAAGATTCCCCGCATCACATGTTCTTTCACCAAGGGGTCCTCCATCACCCGGACCCTCAGTGGTTGCAATTGACTGTTTGGTCTTTGAGCGCAGCATCATGATACAGGAGTTATTCTCACCATGGGCAATCACTATGATTCAGGCCTCTCGTCACCTGGCGACCAATCACATTTATGATTCTACTTGGAAGAATTTTTGCCATTGGTGCAGAAGGCGTCAACTAGATGTCTACAAATTAACCATCCCTCAGATCATTGATTACCTTCTGGATGGTCTGGATAGAGGCCTGGCCCCTGTGACCATTTGTAGACAGGTGGCAGCCCTATCAACGTTGCTCACTTGTGCGGATTCAGTTCCCTTAGCTTGTCATCCTAGAATACGCGTGTTTATCAAGGGTGCATGCAACACTAGACCTCCTGTGATACTTAGGTACTCCTCTTGGGAGCTGCCTCATGTACTTCGCACTTTGACTAAACCGCCCTTTGAGCCCATTGCTACTATACCATTGAGGGCCTTGTCGCTTAAAGTTGCCTTCTTAATCGCCATCACGTCAGCCAGACATATCTCCAAGCTGGCTGCTCTCTCAGTCAGGAATGACTTTTGCATCTTCCACCGAGACCCGGTGGTCCTTCGGTTGGATCCCACTTTCGTGCCTAAGGTCAACTCACTCTTCCATAGGGCATAGGAAGTCATTTTACCAAATTTTTGTCCCAATCCTTCCCATGACTTGAAGCGGCAGTGGCATATACTGGGTGTCCTCAGGGCCCTGCGCAGAGACTTTTCGTAGATCTGAGGCCCTATTTATTTCCTTTTGTCCGGTTTCTCTGGGACAGAAGGTGTCCGCTGCCACTGTTGGCAGGTGGATCAGGGCCTGTATCACGGAGTCATACCAGTCTTCTTCCCTGCTGGCTCCAAGTCATCTTACAGCCCATTCCACTCCCAGCACTGCGACATCTGCGGCATGGGCCACTCAGGCATCCATCAAGGAGATTTGCAGGGCTGCGACATGGTTCTTGCCCTCCCCATCCATACACCATTACAGGATTGACTGCTTCACTTCCGCAGACGCCTCCTTTGGTTGGAGGGTCCTTCAGCAGGTGGTCTCCGGGGACATTGTTCCGGCCTTATCTGTTTCCCACCCATCGGGACAGTGAGGCTTTGGTATGTCCCATTGATGGATTCTCCGTCTCCTGTACTGGAGAAGGGGCATTGTCTTACCTGAACGCCTTTTCTCAGTGCGTAGATGGAGAATCCACACCCACCCTTTAAGTCAGTTAGGCTGATATTAAGGGATTGAGAGCCAACACCTCGTCCACCTTTAGCCACTTTCGCCCTCATCAAGACTGGATCTCCTAGCAATAGGGGGCATGTCAAGTTTGGCTACTTGGTCTCAAGAGCAGGCAGACAGAGAAAACCCATTGGTGGATTCTCCATCTCTGTACTGAGAAAAGGCGTTCAGGTAAGACAACGCCCCTTCTAGCATGCCAATAGTAAAATAGCCAGCTATTTTGCTTGTTAGGCTGTGGGCAGTATTTTCCACAAGGTAAAACATTGTGACTAAGAGGATTCATCTCCAATCCTGAACCAGTTATCTGGTGGATTTCTTCCCCCTCCCCACCACCTTAATGTCCATACTCACAGTGGACTTCAGAAGGGCTATACTTCACCTATCTCTTTGGCCCTGGATGTCTATAGGATCAGTTCATCTCAGGTGCCAGGTTCTAGAATTTATTGTTCTATGAAGTCCAGCTAATCACCTCATAGGTCATGTTCAAAAGGTGAGTTAAAACAATCCTGTTTCTATATACTTTATTATATCGCTTAATGCTCTTGATAGTTTCTTCATGCTCTCTCTGTGTGTGCCTTCACGATACAGTTTATTACTTAATTTTCTAATATGATTTTAACTGCTATTGTGCAGGGGATCCACTATGGACGACAACATAGAAGAGCATCAGATGCCACACTCATAGTCTCTTAGAAGAACTCAAAAGATACATTTCTTCTTTATTGCTTCTTTTTATGGCTACCACTGATATGCTGAATGGAATTTTCTCATTGGGTAGGGTGAGCCATTTTAATTTGACTTGTTTTCAGACTGTTACAAATTATCAGTACTGACTCTGTGTAGGCAATATGTTTTATTATTCTACATCCTCACAACAGCCTTTTTCTTCTAATCTCTAAAGTAGCTGATAAGTATATTGAATTAATTAATGAAATAATTATTGTCAACTGAAGTTTGAATGTCCCCAATTTTGTAAGCTTTTGATTACCTGAACATTTCCTTGTTTTAGATCAATCATACAATAATAATAACAATAATAATCCAGAATAGACGAGAAAGAACTGGAGAAGATAACAAAATACAAAGACCTACAAATAGAAATAGAAAGTGTGGCAAAAGCAAGCAAGGATAGTACCAATAGTAATAGGCTCCTTGGGTGCAATCCCAAAACAACTGGAGCACCACTTGAACACCATTGGCATTGACAAATTTGCTATTAGTCAATTGCAAAAGGCGGCCTTACTAGGAACTGCTTCCATCCTGCGACGATATCTCTAATATCATCGAACATCCACATCTGCCTATCCCAGGTCCTGGGTAAGGACTCGATAGGTAGACAAAATGCCAAATCCAGTCTGAACATCTGGCTGACTGTGCGATGATCCATAATAACCCAGAAAAATAATGACAATGAATCATGCCCTTCATCCATGCAGTGACATTGATAGACTTTATCTTCCAAGGCAAATAAGTGGGCATGGAATGCTGCAAGTACATCAGATGGTTGAAGAAGAAAAAATGGCTTTGGAAGAATATCTGAAGAACAATGATGAAGATGCACTGAAATTAGTATATCAGGAAGGCTTACTGACTACTGGAGAGATCAAAGTGGCCTATAAGAAAGACCAAATGAAGAACAGAATAGAGGCATGGGAAGACAAAGCACTACATGGCCAATACATGGAAAAAATAGATAGGAAAGCAGATAATAATAAGACCTGGCAATGGCTAAGAGCAAGAAAATTGAAGAAAGAGACCGAGGGACTAATTCTGGCTGCACAAGATCAAGCCTTAAGGACAAATGCATTCAAAGTCAAAATTGAGAAGAGAGCAACAGACAGTAAGTGCCGCCTATGCAAAGAAGCATAGGAAGAAACAGTGGATTACTTGGTAAGCTGTTGCAAGAAGATTGCACAGACTGACTACAAGCAGCGGCATGACAAAGTAGCAACAATGGTACATTGGAAGATCTGCAAAAAATATCATTTGCCTTTAAGCAAAAACTGGTGGGATCATAAAATAGAGAAAGTCATAGAAAATGATAAAATTAAACTGCTCTGGGACTTCAGAATTCAAACAGACAAGCACTGCAACATAACACCCCAGACTTAACAATTGTCGATAAGAAAGACAAAAAAGTCTGGATAGTGGATGTGGCAGTGCCTGGAGATAGCAGAATAGAAGAGAAAGAAATGGAGAAGATAACAAAATACAAAGACCTACAAATAGAAATAGAAAGACTGTGGCAAAAGCAAGCAAGGGTAGTACCAATAGTCATAGGCGCCTTGGGTGCAATCCCAAAACAACTGGAGCACCACTTGAACACCATTGGCATGGACAAATTTGCTATTAGTCAATTGCAAAAGGCGGCCTTACTAGGAACTGCTTCCATCCTGCGACGATATCTGTAATACCATCAAACATCCACATCTGCCTATCCCATGTCCTGGGTAAGGACTCGATAGGTAGACAAAATGCCAAATCCAGTCTGAACATTTGGCTGACTGTACGATGATCCATAATAATAAAGTTGGAAGGGACCTTGGAGGTCATCGAGTCCAACCCCCTGCTCAGGCAGGAAACCCTACACCATTTCAGACAAATGGCTGTCCAGTTTCTTCTTAAAAACTTCCAGTCTTGGAGCATTCACCACTTCTGGAGGCAGGTTGTTCCATTGGTTAATTGTTCTAAGTGTCAGGAAGTTTCTCCTTAGTTCTAGATTGCTTCTCTCCTTGATTAGTTTCTATCCATTGCTTCTAGTCCTGCCTTCAGGCGCTTTGGAGAATAGCTTGACTCCCTCTTCTTTGTGGCAACCCCTGAGATATTGGAACACTGCTATCATGTCCCCCCTCCTCCTTCTATTTGTTAAACTAGACATACCCAATTCCAGCAACCATTCCTTATATGCTTTAGCCTCCAGTCCCCTAATCATCTTTGTTGCTCTTCTCTGTACTCTTTCTAGAGTCTCAACATCTTTTTTACATCGTGGTGACCAAAACTGGATGCAGTATTCCAAGTGTGGCCTTACCAAGGCATTGTAAAGTGGTATTAATACTTCAAGTGATCTTGATTCTATCCCTCTGTTAATGCAGCCCAGCACTGAGTTGGCTTTTTTGGCAGCTGCAGCACACTGCTGGCTCATATTTAAGTGATTGTCCACTAGGACTCCGAGATCCCTCTCATAGTTACTACTATTGAGCAAGGTATTCCCTATACTATTCCTGTACATTTGTTTTTTTCTTGCCTAAATGTAGATACTTACTTTTTTCACCACTGAATTTCATTTTGTTAGATAGCGCCCAGTGTTCAAGTCTGTCCAGGTCCTCCTGTATCTTAAACCTGTATTGGAGCTTGATTGTGGAGAATGCAAATACTTTTAAAAATATATAATTTGCTCTTTTATGCTGATATCCTAAATTTGCCTTATTCTGCCCAATTATAGCATCAAATCATAGCAGTTTTCTCTCCCCTCCTAAGTAAGAGTGACCACGGATCTCCTGCAGTGGGCAAGTTTTGTCACTCTATTAGAGTCCAATATTTGTCACTGACCCTCATCTAAAATTAGGTGATCATAACATAAGCAATGCCTATTTCATGTGGCTCCAATTACAGCAAAATTAATTTGAAAACCCTTAAAAACCAATTAACCTTTATTTCAACTCTTCCTTATTTCTAGAAGTGGCAAAATATCCTACACTAAGTTCATTCTGTCAGCAAAGCATCACAAGCTGCTTTAAACATATTCATAGTAGGGTGCTTTCTACCTGGTTTTATTTCATTACAATTTTTACGTTAACTCTGCTTTGAGTTTTAGTTATGCAAAATTCATTTGAGGTGAACTTCAGTCTGCTGGTGTAGAACTAACTGGGTATTGCTCCTACAGTTTTCTGTTACACCAGATTTTCCTATGTTAACACTTCCACTTTCCTGAAAACAATTCTGTCTAAATCAAAAAAATATTATTGTATTTCAAGGCAGAGACTAGGCACTTGGTGAGAATTCAAGGCTCAAAATGATTTACAAGAAAAGGAAAAGAGAGCAATAATCAAACAAGCAGATCCAGGATAGCCCTGATTGCTTAACCCAAAACGAAAACTGTACATAATTCTTCTTGTTGCATACTTAATGCCTGCACCACGACATTTCCTAAGAAGACAATTACTAGAGCACACCAAAAAACCCTGTTTAGCTCAATGTACAACTTCCACAGTGACCAAAAAAGCTGCCTCTTGAAAGCACGCATAACACAACAGCATTTTACTGTACTTGTTTAGATTAGTGATATAAAATGTTGGGAATTTGCACTGGAATGAAAATATTTACAACAATAGCCTTTGGGAAAAAACCTCATAGAAAGAAGAGGTATGTTTATTTGAATCTGGTCACCCTTTATTAGCTGTAGTAATAATGATTTTTCTGATTACCTTTGTCTTTGCAAAGTCATTCTGAATAAAAACATGAATATGTATGTTTAAAATGTATGTGTAAGGTCCTTCCTCAGCTATCTCCTCAGGAAAGTATGACTCTTGAAACAAGCATTATTTCAAAAGGATCCTTTACTGAGAGAAAGTGATTGTAGAGAGACCAAGTGGAATCTGAAGTTCCCGCGTGAAAAAGTTAGGTCAGGGATGTCAAACAAGCAACGTCCTGTGATGTGTCGTGACATATCGTGACTTTTTTCCATTGCCACAATGGGGTGGGCGTGGTTTCATCATGATGTGGGCTGGCAGGTTGACACTCCTGCGTTAGGTTATTTTCCCATTGTCCAATCCCACCCCCATTACTGCAGTCAATCCACTGGCGTGAAGTTGTTGTGAGAACTCCAAGCCAAAAAGGTGATAACAAGTTGTTCTCTGGTGCCACGACCTTGGTAACAGGCAGGAGTTAGCCAGAAAGGATTCAAACCAGATGGCCCTGAGGGCTCATTCCCTCCTCCCCAATTCCCATGTGGATACATCAAAGCAAAAGGAGAAACAAAATGGAAACATCTTCAATCCCCAAGCAGCACTTCCCCCTCCCCTCAGAATGGCAGCATTCTGGTAGGAACCTGACAGTATGTTTGTGCTTCTCCTAAAGGCCACATATTTATTTTTAGTGGTTTGGGTCTATGCATAGGCCTACGCCCATCGTTTGCACAAGTTTTTATTCTTTTGAAAAACATTTGTTTCAATTGTTCTGTTTATTAACAAAAGAAATGAATGAAAGAATGAACGAATGAACGAATAGATAAATAGTTAAATAGCTCCCACCTAACTTTCTACTTTCTATAATTCTGTAGGACCTGCATCCCAAGCAAATTATTAATACCGGTATGTGCGTGGAGCATTGGCTATGTATGTTTTGGCTTGTCCCATAAATCTTAAAATTTGTCAGATGGGGCAACAAGGAAGAGCTTTACCTGTGTCCACTTTAATGTGAATATGGTTGGAGGTGACTGTGCAGAAAATATATTTATGATGGATCCGGGTACTCATATGAAATGGTTTGAAACCTTTGTTCTCTGAGTTATTGAATTGACAAATGGTATCTTTTCTCCCTGTCTACCTAGGTAGATGAAGATCATTCTACTACTTCAGATATTGTCAGAATTCGCATTTCCCAGTATGCCTGCCAGAGAAGGACAACTTTAAAGAATTATAACCAAAAGTTGACGGTAATATATATAGTTTAACTGCTAAGGTTAAAGGAATCTTGCTAATATTTTCAGACACAAGTTGTAAGTCCTAAATCTATGTTTCATATACCCATCAGAAATAACTGTTCCAGTTGTTTTTTTATTTGGAAATAATTCCTGTAAATTACAATTGGATTTATTTTTAAATAAATATGAATACAATGTTTGGATAATTTTCCACTAAATCTTACACTTTTACAAACTCCTTGACTATAAAGCTCTGTATAGGTGATACATTCCCATACACAATTCAACAATGAGCAGCAAGGAGTTTCCCCCACTATTAGACATTGTTGCGATGTCATTGAAATTGGATCTCCATAGATAGAATGGAATTTTCTGCACTTTGATATGCATGGAGAGACTTCCATGTGAGTTGCAACCTAATAATTTCTGGAGTTTATTACCCTGAACACAGTTTCTGAGAATAGTTATTCCAAGTAACAATTGGCCAAAGATACTTGAACCTAATGGTAGTTCCTTTGATTTCACCCATTCAGAATTGTTGGATCTACTTATCAAATGGCTGGGAATGGTGTATGAGTTAAGGAAACGCAGAGACAGATCCTTTTCTGAGCTAATCAGCATCCTGCAAGGAGAAAGTGTGAAGGAAATATGCATGCTGTTAGTCTTTTTCCACATGGTTACTTAGTTCAGTTCATATACACAATCCCAGCATCATAAGTTGACACCAGAGGGTGTGAATCACACCCTGTTTTCTCTCTTTCCCTGTGTTTTCCTCTATCTTTATATGTGTGCATGAGAAAGCCAACTCAAACAGCTGTTTCTTCCCCAAATAAATCTTTATAGCAATTGGCTGCAGGAATCTCTGAGGTAAATTTCTCTCTCTTGAGATTTGAAGAACAATGGAAGATCAACATGATTTCTAAAATAGAGTACATCAACTGCTCTGAGTTGCTTTTGATTGGAGCAGCATATAAACTCAGCAATAAATAATCAATAATCAATCCAATGGTCTTGTGATCAATCATAAAGCTGGAGAGGGTTTTGTAAGACATCTATTTCAATTTCTGTTTCATGCAGGGAATTTTATAATCAGAGTATTTCCACAGGTTGCTCTCCAGAATCTGATTGGAGACACATTAGCAAGGGAGAGACCACTACCCATCTGAAGGCTTGCTAAATGAATCTTTTTGTCAAAATTCTTCTCCAATAGTAAGATAGGTGGTGGCCTCTGATAGTTTCAGTGTGTGCTCAGTGTATGAGATCTTCAAGTGGCCTTTTTTTAATATTGGTAGTGGTATTTACAATTTGAAGAGTAAAGAGTGATTGAGTTTTGAGCTTGGCAAACACTGAACCAATCACATAGTTTGTTTCAGAGCATAGTCGTTAACAATCTGCTGTAATCAATTAGAGCTCTCACCCTGCAGGATTCATCCTGATCTGGAATTCTGAATCCACTGAAATTTGAAGTGAAGTGCTGTCATTTCAACCACATATTTCGGGGAAAGAAAATTAATAATGTAATTAAAGTTTTTGACATAAACATTATTAAGCTAGTCAGTGAAATAAGTATTTTATGATTAAATAGTATAATTGAGAGCAAAACAACCAGAAGACGCCCTGGTGAGAAGCATCTCCTGCCCATTGAAAGAAAACCTTTAAGTTTTCTTTTAAAAAGAGATTGGGCAGCCCTTTGTCTGAAAGTAGTGTAGGGTTTCCTGCTTGAGCAGGGGATTGAACTAGGTTATTCTGTTATTCTGATTTAGATTCAGGCCTATCAATTTTTGGGGGAATAATTATTTCCAACCCAATGGAGTATTGGAAAGGAATTATGTAACCAGGATTTACATCAGCAGGATAACTTTCCAAGAATGGAATGGTATATGAGAAGAAACCAGCAAAAGAAAGACCAGGTCTGAAAATGAATCAGATCTGGCTGGAGGCTATGCAGAAAAAAACAAAAACAAACAAATAAATAAACAAACAAAAAAACCATTAGAAACACTGCCAATTGTTCCATTGTTAAGCTTCTTTCTCTTCCATTCTCTGATCATGGAACCCAGAATGATGCTGCTCTAAAAGGTTTTCCCTCCTTTGTATATTTAACAAAAGTCAGTGCCATTATTTTGCACATTCTGGCCCATCCATACCTTATTCCTTACCTTTTTTTGTCTTTAAGTTAGGGTTAACGTCTGGTGATTGCCTGGACAATTGCTATAGTTTTTCTTGGCAAGATTTCAAAGTGGGTTGTCATTACCTGCTTTCTAGGGCTGAGAGAAAGTGATTGGCCCAAGCTTTCCCTGCTGGCTTTGTGACTAGGCTGGGAGTAAGATTCTAGCTCAGGGGTGTCAAACTGCTGGCTTGCGGGCCGGTTGCATCATATGGAGGCCGTGCCCACCCCAATTCCAGCAATGCAAAAAAAGTCACAATACGTTGTGACACGTCATGTGGTGAGTTTGACACCAGTGTTCTAGCCAAACTGGCTCTCACCTCATGTATAGCCCAGTTCAAATCTTTATATGTGCTGTAATATGAAGAAAGAATTTCTGGCAAGGGTATGCTCAACTTCATTATTTTAGAAGTGTTTTTTTTTCCAATGTGAAATCAGCATGGCATTCTTATCTGTATTGGAATTAAAGGAAACCTTGACGTGGGGAAAACCTTCGCTCCATGCCCTGCTCAAGGACCACAAGGCTGGTGGCAGTGTGTTGACTTTCAAGTGGGTGGGACTATAATTTTCAGACCCACTTTTTAGCATTTTGGAGATGCTGGGTTTGGTCTTGCAGTAAAAAAATAACACCATCAACCCATTTAACAATTAAGATTTCCCATAGGCAAATTCTTACCTTCTATTTAAGATCCAAGAAGGTTGGGAAAATGAATTCTATATTATAAACCAAGGCCACTGATAATTTAAACCTTCCTTAATTAGGTGTTGTTTAGCACCTCTTCTTCACCTCTTCTTTACCGTTATCGGACTTTGGCGATCATGTTGGGGATCTTGTTTTTATCAGCAGCCGCATGAAAGAGTGCTGCTGAGTTTTGTCCAAACCAATCCCTTAGATTTTGAAGACATGATGTTCTTCTTCTGCCTGGACCTCGTTTGCCTTCAATCTTTCCCTGGAGGATTATATGAAGTATGCCGTATTTTTCTGGGTGTTGCATCACATGTCCGAAATATTCTAATTTTTGTTTTTTAATTGTTTTGATGATTTCCCTTGGCTTTCCCAGGCGGCTTATCCCCTCCTCATTTCTGATCTTGTCAACGCAGCTTATACGTAACAGCCGCCTGTAAATCCACATTTCAAATGCTTCTAGTCTCTTCAGGTGGCCTTCTGTCAGAGACCAACTCTCTACTCCATAGAGCAGGATAGAAAAAATATAGCATCTGACAACCCTGATTTTTAGTCTTAGGCTTATGTCGTGACTGCAGAAGACCTTTTTCATTTTGAAGAATGCTGTTCGGGCTTTTTCTATCCTTGTCTTTACTTCAACGGTCATATCCCAGCTTTCATGTAAATTAGAACCGAGGTGCGTGATCCTTTCAACTTTTCTAGTGGTATTCCTTTGAATGTATTGGTGGTAAATTAACAGGTTTTTTGCTGACGACCATGATCTTGTTTTTTGAGGTGTTAAGGTTCAAGCCATATTTTTCAGGGGTTCCAGGCTCCCCCTAACAGTGCTTAGCACTACAGTTCCTAAACTACTCAAATATCATATGCTGGGTATTTTGGGAGTTGAAGTCCTAGCACATTTGGACCATAGGAGTTTGGAGAAGGATGTTCTGAATTATAACCTCATTTTCATTCTCTGGGAATTCTGTAGACTAGGGAAAATCTCTAGGTAAGCTCTAGAGAGCTTTTGTAGAAAATGGACAATTTCTACATTTCTTTAAGGAAAATCGTAAGAAATTTAAATGTAAAACATACAACATGTACACATCCCTGAGAGCTTTTAGAATAACTCCTATATCTTCCCCCAAGTTGCATCTAAGTGATAAAGTTCAATGTGACAGCATCTCCCATCATTTTTTCCACTCCCTCCTTTTGAAGGATGCTTTCAAATTCCAGCACTCAAGTGTCTATTAGGCCCTGGGACGAAGAAAGGTCATATAACTGTCTGATGACATTGGTATGGATTGGTGACTGTTGGACTAGTCCCTCCAGTTTTCTTGGCAACATTTCAGAAATGGTTTACCATTGCCTCCTTCCTAGGGCTGAGAGAAAATGACTGGCCCAATGTCATCAGGTGGCTTCATGCCTAAGGCAGGAATAGAATTCACAATCTCCTAGTCTCTAGTGCAGGGGGAGGCAAATGGTTTTTCCAAGGAGCAACATGAGAAACTGGGACTGTTGTGGAGAGCTGAACCGATAGAGCTGTGAAGGTGCATAGGCTGGCAGGCATGCACATATGTAAAATGAAAAAAAAAAAAGGCAGTTGCCTTTAAAATGAAAGCAATCCATACAGGCTGGACAAGGGCTGGATGTGCACTGGGGCCCAGAAATTGCCAGGTCTGCTCTAGCCTGATGCATTAACCACAACACCAAACTTGCATAGGAATATTAGAACTTCTTAACATTTTGGAGGAGTTGGGTGCAGACTTGTCCTGCCTATCATGCTATAAGACAAGACTGCACAGTGTTGACAATCTCTTTGTTCTAATTTTTTTTGTACTAGTTGATCTACCAATGTAGAATTGTTGCAAAGTTTACTCTCGGAGCAACTGAGAAATCAGTTTTGCGAGCTGGGAGATGGGCTTTCAAAGATTCATTGCTGTTGCTCTCTCTGTGTACTAAACATGAATATATGTAGATTTTTCTACATGCTAATAATTCCACTGAAATGAGGAACAGATTGACTATGCTGATTCTCAGACTGCAACCAGGTTCTGCTAGATGCTAAATTTTGATCCACTGCATCACTAATAATTCAGAAATTGTTCAAGCTACTAGGCAGTTTTCCTCACTTGTGAAATTTACCGTACACCACAATCACTGTCTGACTCCCCCCCTAAT